ATCGGCATCTTTTGATCTTTTCATCTGGACCACACAGGTTATGAGACCCCTCAAGTTGAAATGACTTCTCTCAATGCTTCTTCCCCATTGAAAATTTCTTTAATTTTCTTATCAATTTGAAGACTGTATTTAACACAACTGGGGTAAAAAAAAGAGAACAGAAGTATAATCTTTGAGGTGTTTATATAAATGAAACATTTATTCAGACACTTGATAGCTGATCAATTATGAATAATCAACTCCATAAGTCCTCATGACTTACAGGTATGCATTACTTTTTTTTCTATGAATCATGGGAGGTTTTTTTTCTTTTTTCAAGAAGGTATTAACCATGGTCCCTATCAAATGATAAGTAGGTGTAAGGGGATGTAAAACTAATAATTGAAACGGACTGATGACAGAAAGCTCCTATTCGGTACCTATGCTGATATGAAAATTATAATTATTTATTTATTTATCTGTAGCTACATTCAGAATTATGTATTTATATCAAACTTCTTTATATATCTTTTTTATCTTTCTTATTGTTTAAATAAATATTCTTGTAGATATTTATAGTATCCTTGTAGATATTATGTAATTATTTCTGCATCTTTGAAAATATTCTAAAAACAATTTACGGTGTTAAATTTCGTTATTAGGGTACCCTTCCCGTAAACGGACAACTCTAATAAACAGACAAATTTTTTGGTCCCATGAATGTCCGCTTAACGGAGGTTTCACTGTATATGGAATAATTATGATATAAAATCTTAATTTAATATAATCTTGCGATAAAATGATAATGTAATTTAATCATTTTATCGCAAGTTGTTCATTAACTATTTTCTCTATTAGTAATGAGTTTAAATAAATTGTTACATTTTTGTTACTTTAATTACTACCAGCGTTCTCCCTAAGCGTTTTTAGAAGGACGGCCCACCCTGCTAACCCTTTGATCCCAATAAATGCACCCTCTTGGCCCTTTTTGAAAAAATAAACCGCCATCCATTAAAAACACTTTCCTTTTTATTCGTATTTCATTTTAAAGAAATTAATTTATTGTTTAAATATTAATTACACCTTGGTAAAATTAGCTATGTTTATAGATTTAATTATGATTACAAATATTTACTTTGATAGGATTATTCTCAACTGGTTAATTGCTTACAAGTATCTCTTTTTTTTTTTTCTGGAGAAGATATTAGTACATTTTTTTAGTGATTTTAAATATTAATTTTTTCATAATTTTCAGTTTAAATTATAGAAGGAAGCTTTCAAGTTGTTTATTAATTAATATTTTTTTTAATTTCCTTTTTTTTGTAAACTTGTTGTGTAGAATTTTTTTTAGCATGCCTTTAACAGGGTTCCTGCGGCCTTGAAAAGTACTTGAATTTCATTTTGATTTTCAAGGGCCCCTAGAAGTACATGAAAATGATATTAAATCCTTGAAAACTTCAAAATGACCTTGAAAAGTATCGAAAACTCTGGAAAACAGCCCTATTTCCAGCATTTCTGTGTTTAACTTTTTGCATACGTAAGTGTGCGAGAATGACTTTCCCGCCTTTCAGATGATAACTCGTACTGTTTGATTTTAGGATTTTATGTATGTTTGGCTGATTTTAGGAATTTTAAATATTGGGAACTGCGCCAGATTCTGACAAAATCTCGATTCTTATTCAGGCAACTTTAATATCAATCATCGATCTTCGTATTAAACTGATTTAAAAGCTATGTGTTGCGATTCGTTTTCGCGTGATTCAAAAATTGTACTTGCAATTCCCATTAAAGCAATTTAAAAATCTAATATCGCGATTTGTACCTAAGCGTTTTTAAACCCCAATATCACGATTAGTTTTTCCGCAAGTTTAAAATCCAATGTCGCTATTCGTATTCACACATTTTGCAATATCAAACATCGATGTTGCAATATCAAACATCGATGTTGCAATATCAAGCATCGATGTTGTAATATCAAACATCGATTTTCGTATTTACACTCTATTTGAAAACTACTCATTACGATTCGTGTTCATGTGACCATGTCAAGTGCGTATGATTGATGCTACTGAAAAAAAAAATTTATTCAAGTATGAGTGGTTAATTAAAACAGTCAAAGTGACCCAAATTGTTAGTAAGAATCTATCAGAAGATATTGAGGTGAAAGTTGGCAACTGATTCAATTGAAAATAGTTGACCCGTAATAAATATAAAATGATAATTAAGCCGCAACAACATCCAATAATTGATTAATTTTCTTTAATAGAAAAGTGGTCAAAATTTCAGAATTATATTTGAGAGCAATTTAAATTTCACTGTCTAAATGCTTCTGCCACTAAATATTAAATAAAAATCTCCTTTAAATATTAAAAAAAAAAATTTATTAAAAAGTTGTTTTTAAATATCTAATTGATATCACAGTATTATATCGAACATCCCCCCCCCCCAGTCCTGCCCGAATTTTTTCTTATTCAGAGGTTGTATACCTAGCTTAAAATAGGCCTTGTGTAAAATTCAAATCTGACGTTTTTATGAATCATGAATTTTATTCTTGACTTGATGCCAATCCCCTTTGCTTTTTTTATACTTAGATCACTTTCCGAAATCAAGAGAGCAATGGAAGTCTTATTTTTCAGTACTGCTATTATCGACTGTCAACTAACTATTATCGTCAAAACATTTTAGTTTAAAATGTAAAATTTTAGTCTATCTTTTACTAAAATTTAAGTCCTTGAGAATTTTATAATAAGTCTTAAAAAGTCCTTGAAAAGCACTTGAATTTTATTTCTAAAGTAGAGCATGAACCCTGCTTTAATTATTTTTATGAACTGCAAATTTTTTCTCTTATTTTGATAATGAGAGAGAATTACTTTTAAACATATGCTTAAAATAGTATTAGAAGGTAATTTAAAAATTGTTGAGGTTAAAATTCGGTTATTACATAATATTACATATTTTGATAAATTTTTATGTTCTAAAGTAGGTGCCCTTACAAAACTCTAAGTGCCCTTTTTGTGAGGAAGGGCTCTGCCCTTTTTCATTCCTAGAAAGTACTCTGTTATTACTTATTGTTATTATTTTTAATCTTATAATATTTTTTATTTAGCAATTATTTTCTTATTAATTAAATGATTTTGTTACTATATCATATCTAGTTATAACTATAATAATTTTTTTATTGTTGCATTCATTTTTAACAGCTTTGCAATTACATAGGCAAGTTGTAGCTTACAGTTAGAGCAATATTTGCAAATGCTGTATTTGGTTCTATAACTCAGAAATATTATAGAATATTTATTACACCAGACTACTTATTATTTTTTATTTTTTTTTTTTAGTTTAATTGTATTGGCCTAAAATTCTTGACACTGATATTCCTTTTTTTTTTTTTAAGGAATTGACCAATTGTTTTGATTAGTTTTAGACTTTCATATTTACTTTGAAGGAATGTGCATGCACAAAATATGCCAACTGTGTTTATTTTAAATTTAAATGCGATTGCCCAGAATCCACTATACAACTGATGCTTTCTTTTTTTTAAAAAAAAAGTTTTAGCTCAGACGTTTTTACAATCTATCTAAACTGCTCACACAAATGAAGAAAGTTAAAATTAATTTTAAAGTGATAAACAGAATCTTGGTATGTATATTGGTACGAGATTATCATTAGGCTATCACTAGACACACTTTTAGACTTAAGGAACACAATAGATACGTCCCTTGTCAAGATAAAAAAAAATATATCAATTGCTGCACATTGTTGGTCATCATTGTTGCACAAACTAGGTCATAAATTCAATATTGACAATGCCAAAATTATGTCACCCTGGAGTCTTGTTCCATTCATTCTGCACGTTATTTCTAACGATTTATGTGTTTTTAAGTACATGTTTAAATTTAGAAATTTCTAAGAATGAGTATGAAAGAAATTTTAAAAGCTGATACAAAAATGTAGGTGCGAATTCCATCATTGAATGATGCAGTCTAGTTTTCCCTAGAATGGTATTAAAGAGTATAATGTATATCATTAGAAAGTGGAGAAAAACTGGTTTTTATTATGGAATTGAGTGCCCCTTGGTTTATTGAAGCTTTTATGTTCAACTCTCTTGTGGAATTCCCTTTTTCTTTTTTGCTTGATTTTGATCATGAATTAACTTATTTTAAAATTGCAAGTATTTAGTATATTAAAAATTAGGCCACCATCCACAAATGTGACTAGAGTAGGTATTATACCCAGTTTGTTTCAGACTTTTTTTGAAAAATATTATTGAAAAATTTACTATAATTTGTTTTATAATGACTGTGATGCCATAATATTTTATTTAATT